GGTGAAACGGACGCAAAATGGACCACTTCCCGGGCCCGGCATTGAATGAAATTTGCACCATTATACTCCCTAGGTTGCGCGCCCAGAAACGATCGCAGCTCAGTGACGTTGGTTGGAGCTGGCATTGCAGTGATGGTTTTGATTTTCTCGGGGCCTGGACGAATACCTTGTCGGTCCACGATGTGTCCCAAGTAGCGGATTTGCGACTGGAAGAAACTACACTTCTCTGCCTTGACGTGGAATCCATACTCCTTAAGACGTAGGAAAAGCTGGTTGAGTGATGCTGCATGCGACTCCAAGTCCCGGCCGAATACTATGGCATCGTCGAGGAAAGAGCGGACGCCAGGTATTCCCGCAATCATTCCATCAACCAGTCGTTCGAATGCTCCCGGTGCAGACTTCACCTCTGGAGCGAGGCGATTGAACCGGAATAAACCCCGATGCGTTTTGATGGTGAGCAGCTTTTTTGAATCGTCATCCACCTCGAGCTGCAAGTATGCATCGGAGAGGTCGATGATGCTGAATACGGAACTGCCATTGAGTTGGGCGAAAATTTCCTCCGGAGTGGGAAGCGGGTAGTGATTAGCTTCTAACGCTGCGTTGAGTCCTGTTGAATAGTCCGCACAGATGCAAACCCGGCCGTTTAGTTTACGTACAGAAACGATTCGAGCAGCCCACTCAGAGAAATCGATACCCAATGATTCCAACCGTGTAATTTCAGCATCGACAGCAGCTTTACATTTAGCTTCTTGCAATCGTTGAACACATCTGCGTGCTTGACCTGGAATTCACGTACTTGCTGATCGATTGGTTTTCTCTTCACTTGGTTGCAAACCGAATCGATGGGAACTGACCACAGCTCGAAGAGTTCGATCCAGTCAATGCCTAGCAGGTTCAGATTGGCAGCCGTTGTGACGAAGCATCTTCCTTGTGCAGTTTTGCCGTTGATTCTCACTTCGCACTCGAACTCACCCATCAAATGGAGCGGCTTGCCTGACGCGTTCATTGCTTCAATGGTTGGTTTCTTGATTGCAGGTTTGTCCAGGTAGTTCCAGGTTTGCTTCGAGATTACCGTGATGTCGCTCGCTGTGTCCAGTTGAAGCTTGGTTTCCACGCCGTTGATGAATGTTGGCACGAACTTTCGCTTGCTTGAGTGTTGAGCGGTGTGGGGATTTTGCCTTGTAGGGTTTGCTTGATTTGTTCGATGACTTCTTTTCCTCCTCCAGCTTGAACGGATTTTGGTTTGGAGAATCAGCCATAGTAGCCTTCCTTGTGGTCGATACGGTTGCACTGCTTGGACTGATGATTCGAGAATGGACACAATCTCAAATATAGTGCATCTGGCCGCATTGCCAACAAGGTGTGCGAGGCGATTTACCTTCCGTCTTCGAAGACTGTTGTTGTCGAGAGGTTCCCTTCTTCTCCTGAACTGCGTGCACCGTTGGTTTCGAGCTGGACTGACGCTCGATCATGGATGTGGCCGCCGTTGATAGTCGTCGATCAAGTTTTGGAGTGTTACGGGAGCTTCTGGTGTTTCAGCTTCGATCCGTGAGAGTACCTAGCCTGGCTCGTATGTCTGCATAGCAATGGCTTTTGAGACCGCAGACAAACACCAAGCATTTGAATTGGTAAATCTTCACGTTCTTGAAATCGAAATCCTCGCAAGCACGGTTGACTTTGCCTCCATATGATGATGTCTTCTGCTTCAGATTTCACCAGCTGCAGGCACCGAAGATCTTCTTGAGGGTTTCGACTGTGTCAGCAAAATTGACGTCTTTTTGGAAGCTTCGGCAGGATGTAGTTGGTGTACACCGGGTGTGTGACGGTGTATCCAACTGCCTCAGCAGCAATCGGACCATGGTGGCATCTTCCAGGTTCTTGGCATCCGAATCGAAAAGATCCTCGTACTGGCTGTACCACTTCTCGAAGGTGGTGATTCCATTTTCCGGGTCGAACGAAAATTCGCTGATGTTCGTTGCCAAGGCCTCGGGTGTTTGCTCCAGGTTTCTATGTAGGAGCGCTGCCATCTGAAGAATTGCTTCCTGAAGTTCTGCCATCGCTTCTGGTTCTTGAATCCTCGTCGCCAAATTGAACTCTCGCAGAAAATCCTGCTCTGATCCTTCGTTGTATGTACGCTTCGAGATCGGATACCCACGAAAGTATATCATATTTAGTCCAAAAATAAGCAGTGTTTTCTGGAATAAAGCCGGGGTGACCTTTGGTGAAAGCATGTAGAGGAGAATGTGAGGGTTTATCGAGGTTTATCCCTTGCATATAGGGCATCCATTTGTTTGATATTGATGAGATTGTTGGCGTGGCCTTCCAAATTTATCATCATAGGCAACTGGCGGGTATTTTTCACTATGATTCCATCCTCAATCGAAAACGTGTCGGTCGGTAAGCCCCAGTTTGGGCAGCTTCTAATTTGTATTACATTACTAAGTCAAAATCTTCAAAATTTCCTCCGCAGCCGGCTTAATTTTGATTGGCTTTGATGTGTACTGCGAACGTGCATTTGTTTTGATTTTCATGATTATGGGAACGACTTCGTCGATAGCATTCCGAACTGTACCGTCGTATCGGATGACCAGATCTTCCAGACTGTTGACCAATTGTCGCTGGAGCTAACCCGTTTCAGAAGTCTTGACTGCCGTATTGACATCACACTTTTACCCGGCCACTCGATAGAACTTGATTGAAGTGAAGCCCGAATGGAAGCTGTTCAGGATGAAAACACGAGCCGCTGGAATTTTTGCTGTCAATCGGATGAGACGGACTGAGTTTTTCTAGATTTGAAGGGATTTACGGTTCAGTGAATACTTATAGATTTTTCCGAACTATCTTCGAAACCGGTTAACAAAGTATTCAACTGAGTAGGCAACGATCAACAGTGATGCCGTTTTATATTATATTGTTTGTGTCCTACTTGCCAAAGTGTGCCCTATCGTGCCGTACAGTGTTTCGGCACAGTGTGCAGAGTTGATTACCCCTTGGCACCAACTCAAACAGACACAGATTTAGGGGTGAAATGGGACAAAATGAAACCTGTGGCAATCGATATAGGGTAAATGTTGGCTTCGGCACCCATTGACTGTTTTCGGCAACCAAAATTTAAACGTTAATTTCACTATGTTTTCCCATCAACGCACTTCCCTGAATGTGTCCAAACGATTGTTTAGCCTTTCAGCTTCAATCTGATTATATTTGAACGATCGAGCAATCCAGTAATGCTACATTTTTCTTCAAATAAAGCATACGCACTACAAAATGAGGTTGATTTCGAGTTGCCGATAATAGAACAGCTGGTTAACACGCAGTTCTAATGGGAAGGTTGCCGAAGAAAAAGAGGCTGCCGACAATAGTCACACTCACCTGAGAAGTTTGGAGCGTTGTAAAAACGCTTTCAAAACGTTTTGAAAAATTCTGTCGATTGGAATGGATAGTGAAGCAAGCAGCAGATGAATGTAAACAAACAGACACATCATATATGTGCGTGACGCTGAGAAAATGCTAGTAGAAGTGCAGACGCTGCTTAGATTGACGAGAATACGTAAATTCCCCTATTGGCAAATTTACGATAAGCAAAGCTTTACTTTACGTTTGAAATTCAGCGGCGTCGCAACTGCGTTAACTCGAGCTCGTTTTTCAATCCGTGCATCGTTCAAAAAATTTAAACGAAATTTCTCATATATACGGCAGTTTGACCATGGAGTACTCAAAAGATCTCCAGCTGATCGAAAATGTAATTGAAATTCCCTGGATATTATTCTGAAGATCTTCAAGTTGAAGACTATAGCTGTTCAAAAATTCAGGCTGATTTGGAAGCATTCAAAAGATCTCCAGCTAATTCAACGAAAGACACGAAGACATCTCAAGTAACATTGCAAGTTTTATCGTGGTTTTAAAACACTCTACAAGCCTAAATCATAGTCTACATAGCCTTCATAAAACCCAGATTGTTACTTGGGATGAAATCTAGCATCTCTGGGTCGCCAAAATCGATCAGGTCATGATGGAGGTGGTCAGTAAATAGTCCAGTTCTATGAATATGTGATTCACGACCCCTCTCAAGAGCGCTTGGCTCCCCGTTGACTTTAAATTGAACGCGACCTCACATGGCCCATCCTAACATCATCAGTAAAAATGAATGAACTAATGCACACGTATTCAGTCTCTGCGCACATCAGCAGTAGATACACGTTTCAAACTTTTGCCATTTCACTAGAACCAACCTGCGCTACAAAAAAAAATAAACTTCCAACCGGAGGACGTATTCAAATTTGCTTTTCCCAGTGGGAAAACAAAGAAGCAATTAAAGTAATAAAAGCGCGACTTAATCGAAACCGATAAAACTCGGCAGCAAATATGATGCCATCCATACCTTGTGTGTGCAGTTCAGTGCATAATATGTGTGAGTTCTACGACGCTACAAGAACACATCAGGGGACAATGATATCGGGCACGTTTTCCGTTTGCTTCGCATTCGATTGCACCTCGTTCAAGTTTGCCCCGCTCCCCTCAATCCCGTCTCCGACTGCTTGTAGTACATACTAACTTTGCACACTTAATTAACGAAATCGACTGCGCACACCATCCAACCACCGAACACTTGTTGCTTGATTGTTTGTTTTTCCAATTGAGGAAGCACCTTCTGTCTGACTAAATGAACAAAACGAAAAAAACCGATTACGATAAGAAAGCGTCCCACGATTTTCCGAAGGGAACACAGGACCTTGCTAGCGGCGCAGGATTGCTGCGGACACACCCACACTCGAATTACACGGAAGAAATCATTCATCGGCTTGTCTACGCCTTTCTCATATCGGCGAGTATCAGCATCTGTTGGAAATTGTGTCCATCATTTTTCGTTCCTGCCTGTGAACTCCCGACCCATCCGAGCCACAAAAAAACCCACCACCCGTGTACCACCTGTGTTTGTATTGGCGTTCGAGAGACCCCGATCCGACTCAGTATTCGATACGATTGATTTAAATCCTAAGATTTCTTGTTTTTGATTTCAGGCACCTACGGGAGCGGTTCGGCCGACGGTGCCTGCAGTGCCGACGATGTGGACTGCATCGCCCACCACGATCACCTCGGGATGGAAGCGATCCGCAGCCTGCACCAGCAGCTGGACGACGACGACAACGGTGACATCGATCTGTCCGAGTCGGATGATGTGAGTTCAGGAAAATCGGATTTTTGAATTGTATAGTTCTCACCCCTATTGTCCATTGTTTCAGTTCCTCCGTGAGGAGCTCAAGTACGACAGTGGGTACGAGAAGCGCCACAAGGCGTTCCACTTCAACGACGACATGCACATCTCGGTGAAGGAATTGTGGGAGGCGTGGCTCCGTTCGGAAGTACACAACTGGACCGTAGATCAGACGACCGAATGGCTCGCGCAGAGTGTCCAACTGCCGCAGTACGTGCGTCTGTTTCGGCTGCACAAGGTCACCGGGAAGGTGCTGCCCCGGCTGGCGGTGAATAATATGCACTACGTGAGCAATGTGCTCGGGATCAAGGATCCCATCCACAAGCAAAAGATCGCCCTGAAGGCGATGGACGCAGTGCTGTTTGGACCACCGAGAGGTAAGTCACAATCATTCCCCCCGGAATTCAGTTGTTAATTCCTGGCTTCGATTGCTTCAGAAACCGGTACCCGGTGGAAGGATTTGCTGTTGGTGACGCTACTGCTGACGGCAATCATCGGTAGCTGGTACGCCTATCAGCAGAACAAAAATGCCAAAATACACCTAAAGCGGATGGCCAAGGACGTGGAGGGACTGCTCAAAGCCGAAGTGGCACTGAAGGATATGCAGAAGGTCAGTTAGCTTTGTTCTGAATTTCAATTCCAGGAAAATCCTCGAATTTCGTGCCATTCCAGGAACTAGAACGAGCCCGCCTGGAGCAGGAGAATGTCGACAAAGAGAAAATGGACCTGGAGCGGCGTCTCCGGGAGGCTCCGACCCTGTCGTCTTCCAACTCGGACCTGGAGGTCCAGCAGCTGAAGCAGGAAATCGAGATGCTCCGGTCGGAGCTGTCCCGTGCGGAAGTCGAAATCAACGACCACTGCTGGACGCCACCTCAGGGCCTGCAGAACTGGCTCCAGCTGACGTTCGAGCTGGAGAACAAGCAGCACGTCCGGAAGCGGGTCCTGGCCGAAAAGCAGCTGATGCAGGCCCGGGAGGCCTGCGAGAAACTGAGGAAGAAACGGTCCAGCCTGGTGGGGGCGTTCGTGTCGACGCACGGCAAGAGCATCGATGACGTGGACCGCAGCATCGTGGAGGCCCGGAATTCGCTGAACGACGTGACCAACGATCTGCAGGAACGGATGTTCCGGTGGAAGCACATCGAGAACATGCTCGGCTTCAGCATCGTCAACAACAACGGGCTGTCCTACCTGGAGAATCTGCTGTACAATCGAAACGGCGGTGGCAGTAAGAGCTATCGATGTGAGTATTTGATTGGGGGGTTTTTTTTTGTAGGATCGCTTGAATGAAAAGTAGGTATTCCAAGAGGTGAGGTTTTAGTCTTAAGCATGAGGTCCGAGAGGAAGTCCACGAGGGATTTCAGCGGAGGGGACCTCTTTGGAGTAGTTTCAGTTTATATTTTACTCGACGGCAAATTGGAGATCCTAGATCATCTTAAATACTAGAAAGTGGGTTTAAAATGATGCGCAAAGATTCTGTGAATCTACTTGGTCGAGTATCGTTGATGAAGACGTCGTGCAAATTCTGGTTGATCTAGCATCGAACGATCTGAATTCTAGGATGATTTGGAATACCAATGCATCTGGAATGCATCTGGGACGAACCACGAAATAACCGGGAATTCATTGGAGCCTTGGGGACCCCGGCGTAGCGGTTAACATCCATACCTCTCACGTCAAAGTAACGAGTTCAAATCTCATCCCTGGACAAGTCACGAATGACCCAAGATTATCACTCACTGACTATATTAAAACAAAATATATAAATATTGGAGCGAGGTTTGTTGAGACCGAACGTTTGGGGTGGAAACCATGTTGGTCAAGAGAAATGTTGATTCTACAGCTGGCAAATAAAGCGTTGTTGATGATTATCTCGAATACTTTCGAGCAGGCGCAACATGATGTAATTCCTCGGTAATTCTCCACAGCTCGTCTCCAATCCTTGAAAATCGGGTACAAGAACGAGTATTTCCAACGAGAAGGTTGTAATGAAATATTGAACAGCTTTGAAAGCGGAGAGGAAAGCTCTGTCGGACGATGGAATGCCGTCAGGCCCAACGGTGTTCGAGAATTTCAGCTTCTGGATGGTAGAGTCGACGAGGTCCAATGTGACCGTAAAAATATCTAAGCTTGAATCGTTGAAAACACCCTCGAAATCCTCTGCCAGGAGGTTACATTTACCTAAAGAAGTGTTTGCTCTTTTATCGCTTAGATGAATCTCAACCGGTAGCCCATCCTCTTTCCTTTTTGTCTTCACAGACGTCCACAATAGCTTAGGATTACACTGGAGATTGGTCTTCATACGTCTTGAGTACTTCTTGTGTAGAAAACGGTTGTACATTCGATAGTCAATAATCGCTTTGTGAATGGACTACGGGACTGGCTGAAGAGCCTTCGATCTCACACGCTTCAAGTAACAGAGGCACACAATCCAATATCAATCCGCTCATAACTTCGTCGACGTAGTTCATTTCATCAATGGACAAACACAAGTCAAGCCACAGCCAATCTACCTGGGTCAGTGAGTGATTCAATGCAACGAAGTCAGTTCTACGAAAGTTCAGGCTTTGTACATCAACGGTGTCTTTAATAGAGGACAGGAGCTGATCGATTGCTGGAAGCTTCCAACGCTGGATGATCGGCGTCTAGATGTATCAGAGGCTCGGATGCCTCTAGTGCGGTGGCTTCGTTCGCAAGCACAAGATCAAGCAGCCGAGAGTTTCTGTTCGGTACAGAATTAATTTGCGTTAAACCATGCAGGCTGAAGCCATCCAAAAGAGCACAGCAGGAAGCAGGCATGTACGGCCGAAGAATGTCAATGGTTGAATGATCAACAGCAGTGAAGAATAAGTCGGCAATCCTAGTTCGCAGGCCACGAACATTTTGATAATACACCACAAGTCCATCGGATAACATAGGTTGGCAATCGGAAAGGCGAGGTTCAGTCGGTGGTGAAGATGACGTTGCGCTGAAACGTGGAGGCTGATCAGGCGAGGAATTGGTTTCAAATTGAAATCGAAGGTTGGAGGATCTCTGTTCATGACCATCCGGAACAGTTCCGAAACACTTTCTGAATTTGTTCAGCAAACTCCAAAAGCAAGTTAAATTAGATCCAAAAGTCATTCAGAAGATGTTCAGGAAACTCCTTGAGCAAGCTTTGGGTTTTTCAAATAGCAATTGAAAAGAAATGCCTGATCTGAAATGCTTCAAGTCAAGCACAAGTTCTGAGGATGCTCAAAGTGTATGTGCAGAGGGCTGTCAGCGCAGCTCCAAGCATGTCCAAGGTCCAGATAGTTTCCAGTTTAGACAACATTAAAAATGTTTCTATTCATTCAGATGTACAAGAACTATCTTAAGGTAAGGAGTTTAGTTCAGAATTCACTCACCAGGCGGCGCTAGTGTGATATTAAATTATCATTGTTTGACCTAACTTAACATATGGACTAAATAGAAGGTTCCCGCCTTGGGCAAAGTTGTTCAGATGAACAAGACCTATTTTATGGTCAAGAGATCAGCTCATGATTCACTCACCATGCAGCGCTAGTGTGACATTTTCTTCTTCTTCTTCTTATTTGCATTTCAAGCTTATTGCTCAGCGCATATTAGCTTATTGCGTGCTCTCAACATAGTGTTCTAAATGCACTTCCACAGTTATTAATTGAGAGCTTTCGATGCCAATACCAATGCATGAATTTGAATATTGTTGCCACAATGATACTCTATGCCCAGGGAAGTCGAGAAAATTTCCAACCCGAAAAGATTCCCTCGACCAGACCAGACCGGGAATCGAACCCGCCGCCTCCGGCTTGGTAATACCGTGCCTTTACTGACTAGGCTATGAGCCCCTAATAGTGTGACAATCATGTTTCATTAATTGCCCTAACTTAACATATGGACTAGATAGAAGGTTCCTGTTCTGGGAAAAGTTGTTCAGATGAACAAGACCTGTTTTATTTAAGAGAGGTCAGCTCAAGATTAACTCACCAGGCGGCGATAGTGTGACATTCATTTTCAATTATTTGCCCTTAGATGGACTGGATAGAAGGTTTCCGTTTTCAGCAGGGTTGTTCAGGCGGACAATTCCTATTTGTGGCAAAAATTCAGCATTGAATTCACTCACCAACTGGCGCTCGTGTGACATTCGTTTTGAATTGATTGCCCTAACCTAACATCTTGACTAGATAGAAGGTTTCCGTCTTTCACAAAGTTGTTCAGATGGACCAGACCTATTCTATGGAAAACTGTTTAGCTCAGAATTTACTAATCAGTTCTCACTGTTGCTTCATGTTGTTTCGATTTTTTTTGGTTTCACTTGACAGATTGCCTAGGTCGATAGAAGGATTCTATTTTCTACAAAGTTTTAAGATAAACGAAAAAAAAAATATGATAATCATCATAGCTTAAAATTCACTCTCGAGAGATCGCTAGAGTTTAACTGTGTTTATATTTTTTGCTCTTATTTAACATTTTAATTAATTAGAGTATGACTCTCTTCAGCAACCTTGGTCAGAAAAAGATAATCCATTAGTTGCCAACTTGTCTTCCACATTTAGAAATAAATACGCAATTCAATATAAGTTATTTGTGTACTTAAAAATGTTTTCTCAAAAATAAGAAAAGATCAATCAGTGGTCTAGGATACAAACTTTGAAATGATTATCAACATCTGTAATTTTTACCAGCTATATCAAGGCTGATAATATTTTGAAATTAAAATTTAGGGAAACAGCTTTTGAAATGAGGTTCAAAGTTTTAACGAACCTTTAGCTGTTGAAAGTCGGTAAAAGATTACCGAAGTCGGTAATAATTTCTAAGTGTGTAGGTCTTGTCCATCTAAACAACTTTACCGCAGACGGAAACCTTCTATCTAGTCCATATGCTAAGTTGGGGCAAACTATTAAACATGAATGTTGCATTGGCGCTGCCTTGTGAGTAAATTCTGAACTAAACTCTTTACCTCAGGATAAGCCTTGTTCATCTAAACAACTTTACCGAAGACGGAAACCTTCTATCTAGCCAAGATGTTAAGTTAGGGCAAACAAATTACATCTCGTGCAAATTAGCAACAAATAAAATTGCATTTACCGGTTCAAAAACGAATCGGTAAAAATAACCGGTTCATAAAAACACATCTTTTAGTGGTACCAGCAATTTCCCATAAATAGAAAGGAGGATACTTTAACAAAACCCTTATGGGCGTTGGAGGGTTAAGGATAAGTTCTGAGGAACTTCAAGAACATTTTCACATAGACACCCCTGTCAGGAATAGTTGAAATCACTTTAAGGGTAAGCTAAGGGCACCTCAATGACAAGTTCCAGCAGTATTGCAGGATGATTTTCTAATGTACGTGCTGAGAAGATGGCTTAAGTTTGTCCAGTGAATCTCCTGAGTAAGTACTCTACACTTCAAAGAGCAATTCAGAAGAACTTTCAGAAGTAGTTTAAAGACCTTCCCAAGGAGCAGGAGTGCCTGGGTATGTTTAAAAATACTTCAAGGGTAAATATTGTCAGCTTCAGATAGGCTTATTGGTTAAGGCACGGAATTACCAAGCCGGAGGCGGCGGGATCGATTCCCGGTCCGGTCGAGGAAATATTTCAGGTTGGACATTTTCTCGACTTACCAGGGCTTGTCACACAATATACAATTTCATGCATTGGTGTTGACATGGAAAGCTCTCAATTAATAACTATGGAACTGCATCTAAGACACTAAGTTGAGAGGCTGTCGAGCCCTCCCCTGGTGGAGTTTACCTACCAGGGAAGCGGTAAAAGCAAGGCGAAAAACTATCAGAGCAGTCAAGCGACTTCCCGTTGCACCACCCTAGCAGAGAAGCTTCCTTGGCTCTCTACAGGTCCAAACGAAACGAGTGCCGTCAGACTATACGAGAGGCAAAACAACAAAGCTGGGAAAATTTCCTGAACGGCATCAGCTCAGAGCATTCAGCAAGTGAAATATGGGGACAGATCAACGCGATCAATGGGAAAAGAAGGAGTAAAAGCATGGCACTACAGCATTCAGGAACTACCACCTGCGACCCGGCAGTCATTGTGGATATCCTCGGCGAGCATCGCGCTGACCTCTCCGCCATCGGAAACTACAGCGAGCAATTCCGTCGAAATAAAACAGCATCAACACAATTACTCGCCAACATCACCATCCCTGAAGAACCGGCAACTTCGGACATCAATCGGCCTTTCCGGCCGGACGAACTCATCCTCATATTATCCAAGGCCAAGGGAAGT